AAAATAAAGAGTAATAACAATTAACAGCAATAATACCTGAAATATTAATTAATAAATAAGCTCACTTAATGCAGTACCTTCGTAAATGGCCATTTAACCCCAGTGTACAAGTATCTACCTGTATTCAGTGCAGCATTAATCAAAGTTGAAGCAACAATACGTAACCTGAAGGGCTTTAATAGTATGTAACAATATAGGTAGTATAGATACCTAAATACCTAATAAAATTGAAGTACTTAACAATACATAACCTGAAGGGCAAGTTTCATAAACAAAAAAAAAAAAAGGTAATATAGAGGATTAATTAGAAATTGAAATGACAACACATAAACTGAAGGATAATTTAATATTGTTGTAGAACTGCGTTGTTGTGGTGATTTACTCCAACAAGGGGTTGGTAAGGTTTGATATTACGACAACACAACACTTATCAAACCTGAGTAGTCCCTAAACTTTTGGGGGAACCTTACGGATGGGATTAATATCTGCCAGTGTTTCCGATGGCCTGGAACTGGATCAGGATCGCGACAAGAAGCAACTGACCCTGGACACTGAAGATCGCGGTAACTAGGAGTCACTAAAGCTTCCAATGGTCCAGAGGAGGCTGAAGTTTGGAGGTACTACTTGAAACATACAGTACGTTCAACGTTTAACTCTTTACTCAAGTTAAGGACTAAGCGTGACGAATAAAAGGTGACGATTAAAGCGTAACGTCTAAGACTGAAGATTAAAGGCCTGAAACAAATGGACGTTATGAGACAGGGCGTGGAGCAACAGAGGTAGGTATGTCCGATATTCGGAATTTAACCGTATAATTAACAGAAAACTATGCTTTTACATAGGAAATAGAGAAACACAGAGAAGATTAATAAGAAAAACCACTTACCGAAATTACTTTGGCCTTTAGGAACAAACAATTGACCTTTTCAATTTAAAAGCTTCTCTCTCTGGCGTCAGACGTCAGAAAATTGAAAAGTATGAAAACAATAGTTGACAGCTGTTGACAGTGGTTTTTTGAAATAGTTATTTATGATATAAGTGTTAAAAGTACATTTTTAAGGCACGCATGAGAAAGTTTGCAGAATGAGCGAAGCGAATTCTGCAATTCACATAAGTGCCTTAAAAATACTTTTAACACAAATATCATACAATATTTTTTCTACAAACGGCCATAACAAGCAATAACCAGTGACAAATTGGATTTTTAAATGAATAATAAATTGGAAGCATCTTTCCTACGTAAAATTATTGAATTTGATATTTGTCAAAAAATTCAAACAACCAGCACCTTGTTTTACAGGTAATGAAATGTCTTGTCAGTTTCTTGAAAGTCTGTCGTGGTCAGTAAGCTTTTTGCTAAACATGCAACAAAATACACAAGAAAAAGAGGGTTGCATCAATCCCTTGAAAAATATAGAGGAGGCGGCCGATGGAGCTTCCTCAGTTGTTCAAATTTTACCATTAATATTAATGTAAATAATTAAAAATACAAACTTTTTTTGACGTTTGCTTTCAAATTTTGATGTTTCATTTTTAACACTAGTGCCTTAAAGACTTTTAACACTAGTGCAATAAAGTAACATTTTTAATGCTTCGAGGGGGTGTTAAAAATTGCATTTTTAACACGTTTGTAGAAAAAAATTTTTATATACATTTTGTACTCGGTTTTTTAGTTTTTTCTTTTTCTCAACAATGGTGATTGTGTGTTGTGTGCCGTCTTGTAAAAATAATTCGTTTTCACCGGCGGATGTGTCTTTTCATAAGTTCCCATCAGATCCTACATTGATCAACATTTGGATACACAAAATAAAAAGGGATACTGATACTCGCAAAACAAAGGGAAATCCAAAGCCCTTCAAAGTTAGCAAGTATACAAAGGTAAGAATATAGAATTCTATCAAGAAATGGTACTGTTGAGAAGGCTGTTTTATCCAATGTAACCTGTAGCCTGAAAAGAAGCCAGCTATTTTATAAATGTGCTTTTTAGATTTGTTCAGCACATTTCACGAAGGGGGACTTTTCGATAAAATTGGAAAGAAAGTGGTTAAACAAGGCAGCAGTTCCTTCAGTTTTTCCATGGACGAGAACTTCTACTAAGGTAGTCTCAGAAAACCTAGTCAATCGAGGATTAGCTAGGACCGATAATGATTATATCAGAGAAAATGGAGCGACAGCAGGTAGCATTATATGTGCTAATGTTTATCACAGGCTATTTATTCATTTATTTTATTTATTTATTGTTTCTCTTTACAAACACCAATAAATGGTAATTAATTATACGCAAAGGTAATAAATACTAATACAATCTACAATATATTTTTAAAAAAAAACAGACGGAAGCAATCACTTAAAACTACAACGACAGACTACCACAGCATCAGCCTCAACTGTGCCTCTGAAACATTGAAAACATCGAAATTTAAGGTCTCAATAATGCTGTTAAACATCTAAAGAATGTTATTAAATGATGATCTACTACCATAATTAATTATGAACAGTTCACGATTCAATTGCCTTAATTACTTTTTAGGAACATTAAAGTTTATAAAATAAATTAACATACCAGTTTCTGTATTTTATGTTATTAACAATAAAGAGTATAAAATATCACAGCTTGTATGTTTCTTCTATCCTCTAATCTGACAAGTTTAAAGCTTTTCAGCATAGACCTGTATGACATTATATTATAAGAGCAGTATGCAATATTCTTTCTTACATATAAGTAACGCAAGAACCGTTTCTAAACTTTTTCAATTTGATCAATATGAATTGCTGCTAATGGGCATCCATATTTATTTTGTAATGGATACTCCAAATATGGCCTCACCAGAGCAATAAAGAGCCTCATAATTAGGTTGATCTGCAAACTTTTACTAATTCTGATTATAAATCCCAATGATCTGGGGGCCTTTCTTACTATATAGTTAAAGTTGGTATTGAACTTCATGTCAGTCAGGAAATATACTCCAAGATACCTAACTTCATTATTACGACCAATTTTTTCTTCACCTACATACTAGTCAACAATATCAATCTTTCTAGTAAAAGTAACTGCTGTACATTTTTTGTTATTCAACATTTTATTTGATTGAAATCACCCAGGCTTCAGTTGCTGGTGATCTTCTGGAGTGTGAATAATAAGCTTGAAGAGTTTTAATTTAATATAGATACTATTTGTAGAAAGAACAGAAAGTTTGGAAATAAATAATGGTACTTTAACTGTTGAACGTTACCAATCCCGGTCTAATATTGGAGACATGAATAACACAGTTGTCCTTGTGAATGAAGCAGTGGAGCCTGAAGTGCATGAAGCGCCCTTGAAGAAGTCCGATAAAAATACCCATTGTCAAGAATGCTGTCGGTTGAACACCTTATATACTACGTTACTCATCAACCATAACGAGTTACTTGAAAAATGTACATGTAAAGATCGACCTTTACAACGCGATAAGGCTACAAATGTGTCATTTACGGTATTTGATGAAGGTTTATTCAGGAACAGACAGGAAAACTTATATAAGAATGTGGCATATGCTGGCGCTAAATTTTCTATTGATATGTTCAAACATAATGATAATGATATTTCCTATTATGCTGGTTTTCCCAGTTATGACATTTTTAAAATATCCCTCAATATATTATTCGATTACCAAGAAAAACTGCATATGCACAGGAAAAGCAGTTCAGGAGACCGTGTGCATCAGCATGCATTGGACCAAGAAAACGAGTACTTCTTGGTATTAATGAAACTCAGGCAAAATTTTGGTTACCAGCATTTGAGTGCACTTTTCAACGTATCTATAGGTACAATCAGTAATTTAGTTACATGGTGGATAAATTTCATGTACGTGCGACTAGCAAGTCGCAATATTTGGCCACATCGGGATATTTTGCTGAAGCACTATTCAATTGACTTCAAGGAACAGTATCCGAATGTCATTGGTAGCCTCGACGCAACGGAATTTTATATTCAAACCCCTTCATCGCTGCTAATACAATCGGAAACGTTCTCTCACTACAAACAAGATAATACCTTGAAAGGACTCCTAGCAGTGAACGCCAACGGTGCGATTATTTTTATATCTGCTTTATTCACAGGGTCCGTTTCCGATAATACGCTTCTACAACAAAGTGGTTTCACAAAAATTGTGAAGTCACAGTTGGAAAAAGGCTTTTTGTTAGCAGGAGATACATTCCTTGCCGACAAAGGTTTCACATGTTCCTCATTATTAAAGCCGATAAATATAAATATCCCGGTGTTTAAAATGAATGAGGTTCAATTTAGCGTTGCAGAAGTCCGTCAGACACAGCATATTGCTCGTGAGCGCGTGCATGTGGAAAGGGCAATTGGTCGGCTAAAAAACTTCAAGATATTGTCATCAACCATTCCTTTGACAATAATTGGAAATATTAATCAGATATGGACGGTTTGTTGTATATTGTCGAACTTTCAAATGCCATTGCGAAAAAGGGTCCCAGTTACTGAATGCCAAACATTGTTATGAATTTTTTTTTTTTTAAATATTTTTAATTAATATTATGGTCCCCAGTACATCGACCTTTAAATTTTGTAACTCATGTACACGCCAAACTTTCTGAGCTGCTTCACAACACCAAGCTGGATAATTTTGTTCATATCTTCATCCTGAGCGATGGAACATTTTCCCGCAAGCTCTTCGTGAAGTTGATGTCTTCCTGATATACCTGAGGAAGTTGATACATGTACGTGTCTTTTTAAAGTCAATTGACTTCACCAAGAGCTAGCGCGAAAATGTCCCATGGCCCAGGGTGAAGATATGAACATAATTGTTTGATTTGGTGTTGTGAAGCGGCTCAGGAAGTGTGGCGTGTATATGAGTCACAAAATTTAAAGGTTGATGTACTGGCTACTATTGATTATTGTTATTTTAAATTATTATTCATCATTGTATTTTTGTAAAATTATGCAATAATAGTAATAAATGATTATTTAGGGAATTCAAATAAACGCATGCTTTGATTCATGGCATTTCTTTATTAATATCTTCCAAAAAAGAAATCGCGTACAAGGCATAGATGTTCTGTAATTGTTTTAATAGATCTACACAATAAGTCTTACAAAAATAAATTCTTTCGATATTCAGCTCATTGCTTTGCTTCACATACACTACAAAATCGCACCATTCCACTCCCGAAAGGAGCATTTGCCCTTGTATTTGACTATAATAGGAGCTGTCATGTTTTAGCGAGTAACCAGCAGTGGTTTCGTTCAGGAAAAGGTAGGAGTTTCTGTTCTCAAGACCTTTCGACAATGACTCCCATAAGGGGCACTTAATTTCTAAGACTCCATTTTCTTGTCCAACTTCCATATTATCGACCAAGTGGCCATCTGGCGAAGCGTCCAAGAAATTTGCTGCTGGATGGACCACCAAACCTGATGGAAACACCCTAACGCTTGGCTCAGCTTTCTGGTAGATTTCACGAGCTACGTTTTCGTTTGTTTTACCATGTTTTATGCCGGGAATATGATCAATGTTCTTCGGTTTGAAAATTCGTGATAAAAACCTGTCATCAGGGGTCTTCCGCCGTTTTAATAGTTCCCCAAAATTAGATGCAGTGAAACGTTTCTGTCTTTCTTTCCTCCAAAGCTGTGAACTGGCTTGATTCCTTATTGTAGCTTCTTCCAACCGCCAACATTCTTCTATGCTCAAACTAAGGTGGTTGAGCTCTGGCCTCATCTGGAGTATCGAAAAAACATCTTTTCTGTCGTCTCTCTGTATTGGAAATTTCAAAAAACCACTACTATCCTTTTCGTGAGAAGGAACTATTTCTTGTACCTCTTGTACTAGAGAATTTGTGCAGTTAATTTGGTATTCTAATGGTGAATTGACTTCGGCGCTTATACCCAGTGGTAAATCCACAACCGCTTCACAAGAGGTGGAAAAAAGGTAAGAAGCAGCTATTTGTGGATCAATTTCTTTCAATTCTTCAGCACCTTTCTCGATAATCACATCGTTAATGATATTATCATTTAAATCAGCCATTTTTTGCAATGTACAGTGAAGTGGTGCTCTCTTCTTGGGTGTCTCGCTTGGTTTTCGAATTGAAACATCCATCACGCATTCAAATGCTACAGACTTGCCTCTTGGTTTACCCCATTTTTGTAGAACCTCCGTACATGTCAATTCGTCTGGCACCTCTTGATATTTACGAAGAATAAAGTGCTCCAGCGTAAAACACAGACCAACCAAGTGACCACATGCCTGTGTCAACCTTTAACATAAGAATCAGTTATTTATTTATAATTTAAATTGCTGTTCAATAGTCTAACCACAGTATAGACATGCTGTGGTCTAACTGCAAACTCACCCTATCAAACAACTGCAACTAGCTTCTTTGATCATTAAATTTATCAAAAGTAATCTCAATTTATGTGGGGGGCTGTTTTTCCGCTGACTTCTATAACATTTGGCAGAAACCATAGTCTCATCTAAAATAAAGAACTTCTAAATGTCGAACTCTTAGATTGAAAAGTAATATTTCCATGAATGAATTGCATAAAATTTAAAAAATCACCTACCGCTTGAAATGTTGTAAGCTGTGAAAATGTTACTTATGTAGCCGTCACAGAAATACTTATAGCCACGTTCAAATTTGGTTTGTGGAAGCTGTTTACTTTTGAAATAATCCTTCGCTCTCTCCATAGAGAAGTCCTGCAAATGGAGAAGTGACTTTCCCCACATTTTTTTTACAATTTCAAATTTTCAAACACCTATTGACATTGACAAGCAAGCAAATTTTGGCGGGAAAATGGATGTTTTCATACTTTATTGTCCATCTCTTTTAATTGAAAACGTCAATTGGTCACGTTGCTCTTTTTCACCTCACAAAAAAAATCCGCACAAGGCGATTGGGTGCTAAAATAACGGATTAGCCACCCTAGATCTATGAGCGAAAACTAGACAACTCAGAAAATCGGCAAAATGTGCCTGAGGAATTTTCCCGAAAACTTAATCGTGGAAAGTCCTCGACCTGAATGACCTCTGCTTGTCCCTGCAATGTCCTTTAAAAAGGTTCTGTCAAAACTCCAAGGTGGAAGGTACTGGGGAATTTTGATGGTAGTTGGGGCATGGGACTTATTCAAGTTAAGTTAGTACCGGTCATTGACCCTATTTGGAGCGCTGTCAATCTAGACAATCTACTCCGATCAGACAATCAGCTGTTCTAGTGTAAATATTGTGATTTTGTTTTATTAATAAATTAATTGTCTATTTATTTCAACCCTACTAACAGAAAATCAATTCCATTAATAAACCTCTAACTTAATGATTCTGGGAAAAATGAAAAGTTTGATGAAAAGTTTGGCCACAACTATGGAAAAGACAACAGTGGCTTGACGAAGGTATGCTATTCATTGAGGCGAATGCGCTTATTTCCCAGGAAAAATCATCCCGTAACAACCTTTTACAGAAAGGTGCATGTTTTTAGTTAGGTGCCTATACTGGGTGGGGCACGAAAAACTTTCCACCCAGGTTTTCTCAGGTGTTAGGTGTTTAATCAAATATCGCTCAGACACGACAATTTTTGTTTTTTGGAGGACACATTTTATTGGTATTTTCACCCCCTACCTGTGAACCCCTAAGTAGGGGTGACAGGTACCCACAAAATTTTAAATGAAAAAGGGGGTCGAGTGACACGTCATTTGATAGCTATTTTCATTAAGATTATATCCTCGAAGTTTCAAGTTGCTACTATTTACTTTGTCGAAATGGCGACTTGTCAAAGTTAGGAAAAATCAATGGAAAAATGCTATGTGGTTTTACCTGTTACCTACGCATAGGTATGACAGGTAAAAACTATACAGCTTAGATTATCGAAAAAAAGCATTTATCCTAACTTTGACATGCCGCCATTTCGGCAGGGTTAATAGAAGCAACTTAAAACTTCGAGGATATAATCTCAATGAAAATAGCTACCAAATGACATAGCACTCGACCCCTCTTTCCATTTGACATTTTGGGGGTACTTGTTACCCCCACTTAGGGGTTCACAGGTAGGGGGTGAAAATACCAATAAAATGTGTCCCCCAAGAAACAAAAATTGACGTGTCTGAGCGATTTTTGATTAAACACTTAACACCTGAGAAAACCTGGTCCATGGTTGTTTAGATTTTTCAAACAAATCACCAAGTGTATGTATACCCAATAACTAAACACTTAAACCCTAGGCCAAGGGATCATGAGGCAAAAAGTTTTTAGCACAAGCGTAACGAGAACTGGGATTCATTGAGATAGAAAGTCACTTTTATCACAAAACGTAGGTACCTGAGTACCTACAAGTACACAATTTTTCACACTTTTGAACATTTTTGGTCATTAACTCATTTAGCTTAGTAATAGCCATAGTTTTTGAGCGCCCCTGGTATATATAGGAAGAGTTACGAACACCTACCAAACATTTTTAGTTAACGAAAGATGAAATAAACAACTTTTAAAGCAATACATGCAAGTTTTTTTGCTTTATGTACACTTTAGGTTGCCTAAGGTAGTATTAGAAAACCCCCTGTATATCCGAAACTAGTCATAGGATCGGTTTGTACCCATGAGAACTTTTACTCAGCAGGTCAAAATATACAACATACCAAAATTTGGTTAAATGCCGCGTTCAACCAAAATCCCATAAGAAGTGTGCGGGGTCCTTTAAAAAAATTCTTGACGCCTGCAACTGTTTAGAGAATTTTCTTTCACGAATTTCCGATAAACGTCGATCCGTAATTCGCTAGATTATTCAATCAACGTTGAATTCGATTATCGAAAAAGGTAGTCATTTGGTTGATCAATTAGTAGGTAAAAAATTTCAAGGACTATAATAGCCAAACATTTTTTGAAATGACACGAAACTTTAGTCAAGCACAGAGAAACAAATTCCATTACTACAACGATGGCATCACGATGAATGTCTTTCGACATACCTACTCCCTTTGTGTAAATATGTTGATTAATATACTTTTTTTTTGTTCAGGTAAGTGCACTAATCATTCCAGCAGCAGCATAATGGCTTATAAGTACATGGTAAGGCCTGATTTTACTCTTAATAAACGGAAAAGCTCAAATGTCTAATACTCTTCACCTTCATCGCACCGCAAAATCATAATATTTATACTCGAATGGGATGTGTGGCATCTGGCAACCTTTCAAATCCAGACTCTATAGTTTTACTCAAAAACAACATCCAAAGGAACTCTTAAGGTATAATAAAATAGTCTCCCTCCAACAGCGTCAATACCATCACGATTTAAATTCACTAACGTTTTACTTATTTGAATTACACTCCGGTAAATTTATCAGAGCCTTTATGGCCGATTATCGGCTACTTAATCGGCCATATCTTTACCGAGGTTCGATAAATTGTGCCATTCCAGATAAAATGGGGGTGCTAAACGGAGGTAGATCAGTGGAAATTATTTATGGCAAAGGCGAACCCGAGGTGACCGGGTGAGTGGGCAGATATACGAGGGAATTACTCAAATATTTGTGGCGAGGTATGGCGTATTCCATTAAGGATGGTTAAGGGTTATAATAAAGATGTGGAAGCTTTGCTGCAAACAGGTGTTAGTATGTGCTATTTAAAACATTCAAATGTGTATAAGTAATGTATAGTTATTCATCAATTTTTATAGCTCTTTGAATAAACATTTAATTAACTAGATATAAATATTCTCAATCCCGAATATTTTTTTCCTGAAAAACACAATGAGCGCAACCTTTTCGATTTTTTGAAATTTGACGTAGTTGAATACTTCCCTAGATTGAAGATTTTTTGCGTGCTTCTGAAAAAATGAAAAATGACGTTTCCGAGAGGAAAGTCAGGAAATTGTTAATTTGGGCCAGAAAATGGTTTCTTATTTAACCCAGTGCAACTGTGACAGTGAATATCTTGAGAACTGATCATTCAATTTCCAAAAAAAAAAACGCACTTGTGATGAGAATCAAAATACCTTTAAAAAAAGGTATCAGTCGATCTTCCTTATCTAAAAAAGAGTTGGTGCACCTTGGCGAAATACCGATGGAGTCAAAAAGTTTACCCCTTGAATACAACATTGACGTGTCCGAGCGTTTTTTTTTAATCGACCTTGAAATATTATAAAACGATGTTCGTGAAACCCTGTATAATACAGATGCACTAGTGAGACACGAACCAACAGAAATTTCAAAAAGTAATGATAAAAGTTGTAAGTGCAGTTACGTAGTGTAGACTTCACTGATCTATTAAATTATTGTAGGCCCGTATTTGAAATAATGCCATTATAAAGGGAAATTAGATTCGAGTATCATGTAACGCAGACCTCTATTACAAAGGATATATGAACAACGTACCTATCCAATAACCTAAGAGTAAATGGAAGGGGGCACTAAGTACAGGAAAATGCATTCGCTAAGTGCACCGCTTTTGTACAAAAAGGGAAGAGGAGTGGTAAGAAATGTGCTGTGAATCCATTGAAGTTTTAGTGAAAAGTTATTTTAATATTTCCTGAATTGTAGATGGCTTTCAATGCTTGAAAAAGCAGTTTCAAAATTAAACTATAGCTATAAAAATGTGCTATAGATTTTCAATAATCACCGTGGTTCTCAGTTTCATATTCTACCTTAAAATTGATGGTGTTGATGAAACCCAACTCGAATATATTAGTATATACCTATATTTGAATCACGTCAATAATATTTTTTCCAGATAAAACCCTTTTATGAAGTATTTGCGCAAAGTACAAAAGTGTATTCACATTAGACTGTTCATTAGTCTAAAAGCAGCGTACGTGTAAAAATGAATCCTCGAGGACGTCCTTTGTTGTGAAAAAAAAGAGATACTTTATGAAACTGAAAATAGACACTGAAAAAGCTTTTGCAGGAAGTAACAATGGAGATTGCGTTGTTTATATGAGGCTTTTATGCTATACATCCTGTAACTATTATATACCCTATTTCAGCATTGCCTATTCTATAGTTTTTCGAAAGAGTCGGGTGAAAATTAATTACCTATAATAATTTTGTAACAGAATGCATAAGAGCTTCTAGATATACTACCAATCATTTTCATCATTTTCTTGATGGCATTGTTTAACCAACGATGTGGTCAAAGCATTTCCACAAAACAAAACACCTCGAACCTCACATGATTATTTACCTAAACGAATAAAGACTTTCGATTGTAACAACCAATTTATAGTACAGGGTGTCCCAGCCGAGAGTGACCCATTTTAAATGCTTATAACTTTTAACCTAGGTCTGATAGCTACCTGTGACTTGCGTCATTCGATTTCTCTTGACCTAAAGTTTTTTTCAGTAGGTTGCAAACTTTTTTGCCACTTATACAGGGCAAGTAAGAAAAATCCGTTTCTCAACTTCGAAATTTTCCACTATTCTTAATGGAACACCCTGTATATCACAACGTTAGAAAAAAAATTCCCATAAGCCAGTTAGATGTTTAGGTATATTTTCCGGCCGTTGCAAAAGGAAAGTAGATTTTCCATATACCTAGCAGACGTTTGGTCGCTAAATTCTCATTTTTTGAGCTCAGCACTGACATAATTTTCAGTGGTTGAAATCCTCGAAGAGAGAAAATCGGTCAGCAAAATCTGTCATTAGCTGACGGTCTAATTATGTTCTAAGCATTTATGGATCAGTAAATGGTTGAATAAATTGTGTAACATTTCCTGGGGAATCGCTTCAATGACATAACGA